GGATGGAAGAGTAGTCACTATAAGGCTGTACCTGCAAACTTTGGAGGGAATATGCCTTTTTGGAGGGGAAGCAGGGGGCAGAAAAAGCTGTGAATGGGAGGTATTCCACTGGAGCCTGCTGCTACAATCCCCAGAAGAGGTGCAGAGGCTTGCCATCGCTGGAGGAGTCAGGCTCCAAGAAGTCCCCTACATGGTGTGCTGAGGATCCTGCCAGGGAGTTGAGTGAAGCCAACCCCTCCTTCATGCAGGGTCTGTCCCACACCCTCTACTGAGAATCTTATCTTCTGGCGCATTGAGCCTGACACATTTTTACAGAGAAAGTGATGAAAGGTGTGTATAGACTTGAGAGGTATAATATATGTTGATAACTGGTACACAGATAGTTCTTTAGGAAAATTAAATGAGATGATACATATACATAATTGCATGGTTTTGGTTTTGCAGTGAGTTCTTTGAATCAGACATCTTGAGATAAGTGTCTTTCTCTGGCTGTGAAGAATAAATAATAGCCATATTATCTCTTAGATAGCATGTAGATGATACCAGGTCCATATGAGGCAATAGTAGCTTTCAGTAGCAAAGAACTTTGTAGATAAGGGGTTTTTCTCTGAGTATTGAGTATATTGAGTGTTGATTAATAACTTCAAGCTAAAGAAACAGTCTTAAGTAGCAGCTCTCACTCCCAAATCTTACAGACTACAAGTAGCAACTTTGAAGGAATCCTGAAATCACTTTAGTAGATCTAGAGCTGCCTATTGCAAAACCAGGTGGAACATAGTAAAAAATATTCACACATCTCGGTAGAGATACATTTGGTTAATGAAGAGTGCATGCTTGAGAGCTGGGTCAAGATGGCATGAATGGATCACAATCAAAAACAAATTTTAACAATATCTTTCAATGGTTGGCCCTAATCCTTGTCAGTTTGTCTTCCTTTGTCTTTTCTCCAGGCCTGGAGATTCAGTAGGACATTGAATGATGACATAAAAGATTTCATAGGGTTCCCTTTTGGGTAAAAGCAGGCCAGTTCTTCACACTTTATACCTTAAAGATTTCATACTATTATTGTAGTCATTTCTGCTACTCCAAAGAAAGAAGAAAGTTAAATTTTGTTCAATATGCAAATGACAATATTTTATTTTCATAAATGAGGAGTGACCTTTATAGGCAACTAGCCTTGCCATCTAATTATTGCCAGGATAAAAAAAAGTTAAAGCCATAATTTGTGGAGACTTCATTAACATTTAACTGGCTTATAGTTTCAACCATAATAAAAATGAACATGTTCAGTGATTAGTCACCTTTTCCAGCTGTTTTATGTTGGGATACCCCCAGAAGAATTAGGCAAGGTATTTTGTGAGTCTGTATAAAGATTGTTTTTATCATTTTGATGGAAGTTACATTACACTTCTTTTAAAAATTTCCAGGCAAAAATTATTGCAGCTACATCCTACATAGAATTTGGGGGGATTCATTGCTTCTTCTTTTAAAAAGTGTTCACTGGGTGCTTAGTAAGTAGCAGCTCTAGGGAATACCAAGGCAAGAAATATATAGTTAGAAAATCAGTATTACTTTTGAGCATTATTCCTACCCTGTCCATGGCCTTTTCAGATACCATTTCTTAAAATCTATAGTTTTCATGAAAATATATCTGGGGGTTTGACTCCAGAGAGTATATATTTTGTTGCTTTGCCAGCTGCCCTGAAAACCCAAAACTTAATTGCTCTCTTTTTAATTGGTTGTTTTAATTCAGTTGTTACTTCCTTTAATCTTATTTAGCTGAAAAAAAATCACCTTTGCTATCTTCATGGTCCCACCAATAAAGATTGTTGTGCATGGGGGTATATCCTAGGACCATCGGAATTTCTATGGTTGATTCTATTTTCAAGGGGTTAAGTAACCAGACATGGGTCCAAAAAGAACTATATCATATTTTTATATTTCCTTTCAAGTGATAAAACAGCTTTGTGTAATGGTAAAGTTATATCCCCTCACAGGCCTTGTATTGGTCTACTGGGTTTTCTCTCAGCCACACATGCTATTGCCTTGGTATCTGGGTCCATCTTCAATGCCAGCAGCCGTCTTGTAAACTAGATATTTAACCAGCATTTGCTGTTCGGTGGATGTTTATAGTTATTTCTCTCTGTTTAAGATTTCATGAAAGGACTTCCACAGGAGTGCTGTTTCCATGAAGTCCCTTTATATCAAAATTTATGATTATTTCATTCTTCTGGACTATTTTTCATGGCATTGCTGATGGGATTATCCCTTTAGTACTTGAAGCTATTCTCTGAATCAAAATTAGGGTTTGCAACTAAGGTGGGGGGGAAATACCATTACATTTTGTGCAGTCTTTTATCATTTTTTATCCTAAATTGGAAAGTTGTTAGCATTAGGCACTCAATGAATTCTCTTTGCATCTGAACTTATTAAAACCCAGTAAGAGGGAAATACAAATGATTGATGGTTGTCAAGGTAAAACTTTTGAGTTCAGTGCTCTACCCTTTATAATGAATTTTATGTTTCCAGATGAAGGTTTACTTGAGACTAGAAGTGTTAGAAATATTAGTGAAGTCATTGAGTTGATTTCACCCTCATCCCTGGAACTAATGACTTAAGAAAAGGTTAGAAAGCTGGGAGAGACCATTTAAAACAGTTCAAAGTTCCTGGACTCTGCCCCATGTAACATTTAACAGCACTCGGGAGGCAGACATAGAGAGCATGCCTATCACATTTGCAGACACAGACGAGTATCCCTTGTGAGAAGTGCTTGGGATCAGAAATGTTTTAGATTTGGATTTTTTAAAATTACATATACATAATGAGGTGCTATGGGGATGGGATCCAAGTCTGAACACAAAGTTCATTTATGTTTCACATACACCTTATATACATAGCCTGAAGCTAATTTTATGCAGTATTTTTAGTGTACCTGAATTTTGAATGTGACCCATCACATGAAGTCAGGTGTGAAATTTTTCACTTTTGGCATCAAATTGATACTCAGAAATTTTCAGATTTTTGCAGACTTTGGATTTTTGGGTCAGAGATGCTCAACCTACAATGTAAATTTAGGCAGGATGACTAGTAACTGAGCAACAGGGTCAGTATTCTGAAAGCTCTCCACAGGCCACGATGATGCACTGAAAATGAGGTGGGGTTTAGGGAGAATGTCAGTCCTGTGTTTTAATTCATAAAAATCACCTCATTATAGAAGATAAACAACTCTGGCAGTGATATGGAAAGGATGAATGGATATGAAGGCTCCCAGCAGCTCAGAAAGGACAAGTGCCTTATGTGGGCTGTTGAAAGAGCAGAGGTCAGGGGAAGCAGCCAGTTGAATTCTGGTGTTTTGGACTAGTGTTCAAAGAACAGCTGCCATGCTACTAAAAGTCTGAAACCCATCTAGTAGGAGGAATTCAAGGGGGGAAAAAGCATGTTTTGCTTAGAGAAATAAAGGCTTAGAACATCACAACTATTTTCAGATGATTGCATTTTCTGATATTTTTACCATTTCTTCATGGATGGGACTAAGATAAATGGGTTTCCTTCTCAATAAGCAAATTTGGGCCTTTTTAAGGGGCATTGTCTGTGTGATAAGTATATGTTACAAAGTTTTGAGTGTCACACTTTTCAAAGACTGTCTCTATGGAATTGACTTGAGCATTTGCATGGAAGTTAGATCAGGTGATCCCCAACATCTGTTTTCTATTCTATTTATTTTCTTGCCACCAGGGATTCATTACAAACATAGTGGAATAATATTCTTAAATTTATGTTTTCTTGAGCCAGATCTTTTTTTTTTTTTTTTTTTGGTACCAGGGATTGAACTCAGGGGCACTCAACCACTGAGCCACATCCCCAGCCCTATTTTGTATTTTATTTAGAGACAGGGTCTCACTGAGTTGCTTAGCACCTCACTTTTGCTGAGACTGGTTTTGAACTCGCAATCCTCCTGCCTCAGCCTCGCTAGACTCTGGGATTAATGTTGTACACCACTGTGCCCTGCTTGAGCCAGATCTTAATTCTCATTGTCAAGTAATTCTATTAGTATTTTAAATTAATATGTTATTATTGTTAAGCAATGGGATAATAATATCGATTATCCATTATATAGTGTATAGTAGAATTTTCATAGTCATTAATATGGTTGATATAATGACTCACACTTCCCATGTGAAACATTTGGATAAAGAGCTGATGCTATCTATAATAATTCAGAGTAATGGACCTTTAAGAGGTTGTGAGGTGAAATCTACAATCATCAATGTGCTGAATGCTGTTGATGCTGAAACAGATGAGCTGCTCTGCATATACTGCATTCTCTATTATTTTTTGTTTCCTTATTTAAATAGCTTTGTTCCTAGTAGCAAAATTAAGCAGATGTTTACCACATGTTTATTCTTGAAATTATTTTTGCCTTATGTGGACTATAAAGTAAATTTATATTCTGTTTTAATTTTGAGACCCCTCCCCAAATCTTTGAAATATTAAAGTGAAAGCTTTTTCTATGTTAGATTTTAGAATAATCTTTTGAAAAATATTTTGTATTTTGTCCATAGTTTGTACTGCATCTTGTCTTCTACCATTGTGCCAGTGTTGTGGATGAAAACATTTCTCTATTTTTTGGGACAAATGATAAATTTTGTTGTTGTTGAAAACCCATTGAATGCTCAGGGAAGTTCTCTTAAAGTTTTGAATGCACAGTTAATTTTCTAAATTCCTATACATCTGGAAAATGTGAATTTTAAAATTTCTTCCTTTTAATTTTCTTCTATAGATGTTAGATTCTTTTTTGAGAGAAACAGAATATAGTGGTAAGGGCAAGGAATGGTTAATACTCAGCAATACTTAGCAAGCATACAGTAATGTTGAAATCTACTGATCCTGAGCAAAAAAGGCTAAATTAGATTCTGGCATCAAGTAGGTGTAATCATCACAGCTCATTTTAAGAGGTCTAGTTGTCGATTAATGTTACTTTTCATTCTTTCACATGTTAGGTGGTTGCCTTTTTGATGAGCCATACAGCACATGTGGATATAGTCAAGCTGAAGATGATGACTTCAATTGGGAGCAAGTGAACACCTTGACCAAACCAACTTCTGATCCATGGATGCCATCAGGTTTGCTTTTAGTGTTAAGTTTTCTTTTTAAAGTAAAGGGAACCCAAGAGTATTAATCAATGTTCACTGGATAGTGTTGAATGATGGAGGGTGTTTTCTTTGAGTGTGACAGTCAATGGCTGATTAGCTAGTGAAGGTGGCATAATTAAGAGGACTGATTACAAGAGTTTTAACTTTATATCTCCCTCCTTACAGTCTACTTACAGTTTATTTCCTTTATCTTTGGGTACACCTTAACTAGATTAATGGGCCTCACACAGTTGATCATTTTCCTAGCAGCAGATATGGAAAATGGATGTGTTTTCTAGAAAATGTGACTCATGGTTGGAATTTTACTTGGAGAATCCAAATAACAAAGTCTCTGCTGTCACAGATAGGAGACTTTGGAGGTGACTTAACATTTCTCAACCTCAGGGACTCAGTTTATACTTGGGAAGTCTCAGAAGATTGCAAGTGGTCTTGAAAACATTCAGAAAATATAATGGCAATGCATGGATATGTACATAATTTTCCCAGTGTGGAAGTACTTAGTGAATTTTCTGCTGAGGGAAAGACATTTATCTCACTGAACAACAGCAAAAATTCAGCTTGTATTTTGGAAAGAAGACTAGGAGATAGTGACTGATGAACTCTGGTAGTATTGCAGCCTGACCATTTTATTGGATCCCCTTTTCAGCCTGTGACCTTGAACATCCCTTTAAAAGTTCAGATTTGCAGATTCATTCTTCAGATGGAATGATGAGCATATCACATTCAGTATTCAAACTAGTAAAATATATTATTCTGATTTGGATTTCAGATATAACATAATTTTTGTACTTTTAATGAATTTAAGCTTTTCATTAATGCTCCTACATGCAGCAAACAATACATTTAGTAAGTTAATTTTTTAAATGTAGATTTGAAACATGAGGTAGAATCTAATGCTGTTCTTACTAATCTTTAACAATATGGCATCCACCACATTCCTGCCTGCCTTTCCTTTAACTCCTTATAATTTCAAAGAAAGGAGCACTGAGTTCTTTAGCACTGTGCCTTTGATAGGCTTCAGAACCTCTCCAGCTCTTGGCTAGTTTCTTGCAGGTCACATTCTCCCCTCTGTCTCCTGTTGTCTTGTATGTGTGTGTACTTTCAGATATGGCTGTGGTGGCATCTATGATACACTTAAGTTGTTTTTCACAATTCCGGTTCCTGCTTCCATTCTAGTCAAATGTCAGAGGGGGACACAACTGTGCTTTTCCTATTATCACTGAGTTTTCCAGGACAGGTTTGTTGCCCTGGAGGCTTTGGGTCTTGACTTTCCCTCTTGTTGAGTGCCCAGCCTATGTTCAGAGAGGCTAGGACAGTTGAGGCTTGGGGAGGTGGAAGGATGCCAGATTTAGTTCTGATTGATTTCTCCACAAAACACACTCACAGTTGCTTTGTTGTCTTCTCACTTGATCAAAATTTGTAATGGTTTCTTCTTTGCAGTGCTGAGGTTGGAACCCAACCTGGCTAGGCAAGGGCTCTACCACTGAGCTACCCTCCCAGCCCCTGGATTTGTGATTTTTCACTGTAGGTAGTTGATTTTGTTATTGTACCCCTTTTTATTGAAGTCTTATTTGAAAAATTAACTTTAAAAGAAGCCTAAACATTGAAGAAACTTTTGTAGCTGCTGCTGATTCTATTTTTGTCACAAGATGACAGACCTCCACTGATAAAAACACCTTAAGAAATCTTTTCTTGGTCCCCTTTTTCTACCTTTTGACACACCATACTGCCATCTCTCACTAAATAGTCCACTCAATTTTTTAATATATATATTTTTTAGTTGTTGATAGACCTTTATTTTATTTATTTATATGCAGTACTAAGAATCGAACCCAGTGCCTCACACATGCTAGGCAAGCGCTTTGCCACTGAGCCACAACTCCAGCCCCAAATAGTCCACTCTTTAAAGTTAAGCAGAATGAGTTACCAGCAGTGGCCATTACAAATGGTAATAAATACCAAAAGCCATGTGTGTTGTAGAACAATCAGGGAGAGAGTAGAAGGAACAACAGTCAAGCAACTTTACAGATATTTAATGTTGGATGGATTTTGTGCCTAGGAACGATAAAGTGGGGGCATTTAAATGTTCTGTTTTATTTTATTTCTGTTGATTAGTAGATTAACTTATGGTTAAATTAAGCCTTTGCAGCATGAGGTCTTTGTTTTCCATCTTCTAACACTTTCATCAATTCATCTGATTCCTGGTGGTTACAGAAAGTTTGTTCCAGACCCCAGCCCTTCCCTGAGCCCCCACTCCCGACCCCCCAACACACACAAGGTGCAGCTCATTGTTTGGATATGTGGATGTTTGGATGTCAGAGTGTAAATGAAGGGTAACACAAGCATTATCTATACCCCTGTGCTATGCTTTCAAGGATGGGTGCAGGCGAGATTTTGGGTAATCGATAGAGGTTCTCTCAGACTAAATTTGTGCCATAATACATGCTTGCAAACACTGGTATTTCTCTTTCTACTATTTCATTAAATAAACTTTAGTTACTGTAATTTTTTTGACCCCTAACATATGCTAAATATGGTGATAATTACTTTTAGAGATGGAGGATTGTAAGAAAGGACTCTTTCTCTCAATGAACTTTTACCTACTTGGGAAAAAGTTAGAAAACTACAATAACTACACAACCTAAGATTATACATAACTAGCTGTGAGACAGGTTGGAAGTGTTCTTAGAGCAGTTTTCTTAGTGTAATCCCAGGGTATTATAACCGGATATGTAAGAAGTTAAATTCTCCAAGCAATGTTCTTAGAAATAAGAACATGTGATCTTATGAATTTACATACACAGGTTGATCATTCCTAATCTAAAAACTTGAAATATGAAACAATTCAAAATCTGAAACTTTTTGAGTATCCACATCACTCCACAATTGGAAAAATTGTCCACTTGCCCTCATATGATGGATTGTAGTCAAAGTACAGTTATATACATTGTATAAAATTACATTTGGGCTATGTGTTAACAGGTATACAGGAAACATAAATGAATTCCATGTTTAGACTTGGGTCCCAGCCCCGAGATATACTCCATCATGTCTACAAATATTTCAAAATACAAGAAAATCCCAAATCCCAAACACTTCTGGTTCAAAACATTTTGGATAAATATTCATCCTATACCATCCTAATATGATTTTAATACTGAGTTTCCATCATGTATATATAGCCATAAGTTTTAAATACTATTTAGTTTCAAGAGTTTTTTCTTCTTCTTCTTTTTTTTCTTCTCTTCCTCTTCTCCTTTTTCCATTAATGTGTGCAATGTAATTTATTCCTTTCAAAAGCAGATTCCAAAACTGGTCCTTTCATGCAAAACTAGAAGGCTAATTTTAAAAATATTTCTCAGGGTAAAGCTGTGTCAAAATTGAATGTAACGATAGAGTTCTTTAATTTTATTTAAATGTTCATTTAAAATATAGTTGGACTTTTTCCTGTGTGTGTGCAAGTGTGTATTTGGTCTCCCATGTGTGGGCTGGTTCTATAATGCTTTAGACCAAGAGTTGGCAAACTATGTCCTGCTGTGCAGATTCAGCCTGCTGCCAAATTTTTGTATGACTTACAAGCTGAGAATGGCACTTACGTTTATAAATGGTTGAAAAAAATTAAAAAAGAATAGTAATATTTTGTGACACATGAAATTTAAATTTCAGTGTCCATGAACAAAGTTTTACTCATGCTAATTTGTTTAAATACAGTTGTGGCTGATTTTAAGCTATAAGAGCAAAGGTGACTTATTAAGATAGAGACTGGTCCACAAAACCTATTATATTTAGTGTGGCCCTTTCTGAGAAATTCTGTGACCACTCTCTTAAATTGGTTAGATTAACTTCAGCCTAGAATGGTTTTTTTAGAGTCTTGCTATATATTGTCATTATTTTCTGTATTCATGCTGTAATTGTTATCGTAATTGTTCACATACAGGCATTACCTCACATTTTCTTTCATGTTCAAATTGTAGGTTTTTCCAAACATTGGGCTATTAAAATCAAAGAGAAAATAAACAAGATTAAGGATTTTCTGTTTTTCCTCTTAAAATCCCATCTATTGAAAATTACATTTTTTAAATTGTTTAATACCAAAATTTTTGTTCTACTGCTGTGATTCTGATTAACAGTTAATCCATCAAGGTGAAATTAAAAGTGATGGAGACTAAAATTTTTCTTCTTAATTTTTAGCTTTTTACTTTTTCTGTGTCCTTTCTAACATCGGTGCTCCAGTGTTTTAAGTCAAATGCTACAGGATTTGTTTCTCTGTATTTTCATGTGTGAAGTTATTATTAATCACATTTTAAACAACTTAAATACAGTATAGAGCTTTCTAAAAACTGACTCAATAGTTTTCTAAGTCAGTGATGTTAGCTCTGGCAAAACATATTTAGGGGAAGTGAATACCACATTTCATTAAAATTTTTATATTTAAGGTCAACATTTATGTCATGGTAGATTATACTTTTGTAGCTAGCTCTGAATCATAAAGGCTTTCTCGATTGTAAACTATGCCAAACCTAGTTTCTCTTTTATTGATAAGTGTGAAGTTAATTTCATATTGATTGATCCTCTGCATTAGCAATGGGGAACATTTTTTAAAAAAATATCTTTAGTTGTAGATGAACACAATACATTTATTTTATTTATTTAACTTTATGTGGTGCTGAAGATCCACCCACTGACTCACACATGCTAGGCAAGCTCTCTACCACTGGGCTACAAACCCAACTCAAAAATTTTAAAAATTTATCATAAGAATTACTACAGTGAGCACAAGAACCTTGATTAAGAATCCAAGTAATATCCTGATACATTTTGTAAGTACTGTTGAATTCTATCCCTCTTTACACTGTAGCACATTGTATAATAATCACATAGATTAAGTAATGACTAAGAAGTATTTTATGATATTAAATCACCTACTTGATTTGATAGTGGTTGATGTGTATTGTTACCATGGAATATTT